AGAATAGCAGTTTAATAACCAATCCTTGTTGTTCCTTGTTGCTTTCTTCTTTATTAACCCTAACCCTTGTGTGTTTCTCATTAAGAAACCGTTTATACTTTCTTTAAAGGTATCCGATTCACAACAATATGTTATATTAATTATGTTATATGTTATATTATATGTTATGTATTATATGTCATGTTATATGTTTTGTATTATATGTTTACTAATTATATGTATTATATGTTATGTTATAGGTTTATTAAATGTTTAGTTAAAAGAAAATAGTATGAAACTATTATTTAAGTTTATAAAAACCAAAATAGTATGAAATTTATTTGTAGTTATATATATTAAGAATAATTAAAAGATAGTAGAAAATTTGTTTGTATTAAGTTAGTTAATACTTGTAGTTAATGTTTTATCAAAATTCCTTAAATTGGTTGATATATTAAAATCACATTTGTAATTAAAAAGACAATGATTGTATAAATATGCAATATAAAATATTATAGATATTATCGTAGTTGGATGTACGATAGGTTGTATCCAGGAAGATGCAGACTTAAACCAAATTTTGAGGAAGGAGTTAAAGGGTTTATCACGTGGGCATTTTCTCAGAAATGTTTTCGAAGCAAATGAGGAGTTAGATGCTCTTGTCTTAAATATGAATGCATACCTATAATTAGTGATCCAAAAGAAGTAGAACGTCGTTTGAAGAGAAGGAGTTTCATTGAAAATTATTGGGTTTGAACATATAATGGATAAGAACTGTCGAGTAGCGTACCAGAGACTAATAATACACATGCTTCAAGTATTCGATCATCGATGGAACATGGGGAAAACTTTAATCCTATCCGTGAGATGGTGGGTAATGCTTTTGGTGTGAACATGACTTATGAAGAACCTGAAGATTTTGATGGGAAAGAGTTGCCGAATGAGGAAGCGCAAAGATTTTATTAGTTGTTGAAGGAGATGAATGCACCGTTGTTTGAGGGATCATCGGACTCAAAGTTATCAATGTGTGTGAGATTATTGGCTTCCAAGTCAAATTAGAGTGTTCCTGGTCAGTGTTTGGAATTCTTCGCAAAAATGATGTTTGATGCGGCTCCTGTGAAGGACAACTTGCCTATAAGTTTTTATGATGCAAAGAGCTTGGTGTCGAAGTTGAGTTTAGAAGTAAGAAAGATTGATTGTTGCATTAATGGTTGCATGTTGTTTTATGACAATGAGTTTGGTACTAATGATGGAGCGTTGAAGGAATGTAATTTCTGTAAGAGTCCAAGATATAAAGCTCGTAGTAAAGCCATTGACAAGCAAAAACGTATAGCAATGAAGTCCATGTTTTATCTTTCGATAATACCAAGGTTAAAAATAATGTTTGCTTCAATGCACAGTGCACGTCAAATGACACGGTATAAAAAAAACAAGTTCAAGCACTATGCGACATCCATCTAATGGCGAGGCATGGAAGCACTTTGATCGCATACATACTGATTTTGCCTTAGAACCTAGAAATGTGCCACCGAATGTCTTTGATAATAAACTTTTGATTTGATGTTTTTTTTATAAAATTTATTAATTTCTCTTTTGTTATTTATGCTAGTGGAGCAAACCCGAGGACGTGACAGTCAGTTCTCAGTCCGTGCAGGTGTAGGATGAGACGCTAGAGAGGTAATAGATAATGAAGATGAACATGTACTTTAAATTTTTAATAATTTTATATTTTTTAATATATACTTTAAATTAATTTTCAGGAGAGAGGTCTGAAGAAAGAACTCAAGGTTGTTAAACACGAGAGCAAGCTTATATAATGGATTCTACAATGTCTCTCACCTGTTATAGATAGGTGGTTGAATGAATATGATATATCTTCATTCCAGAGAACCATTTTATCGAGGATATACCAAATATGTATCAACATTTGCATAAAGATGGCATCCAAAGACATCGTCCTTTCACATGCCATTTGATGAGATGACTGTTACATTGGATGGAATTTCTTGTCTGTTTCACCTTTCGATCAGGGGTTAGTTATGGGATCCTCCACCAAGTTTCACTAAAGAAGATGTTATTGGTATTGTTGTTGATTTATTAGGAGTTCCATTTGAGAAGGAAGTGATATAGGTTAGTGTTTGCAAGGGTTCTTATTATAACATATATGGTGATGCTGGTAGGTTACACCATTTTTAGCGACAAGACTTTTACTCTTGTCGAGGCGTGATATCTACTACTATTTAGAGACTTGGTTAGATGTAGGCGACATAGTTGGGGAGCACTTGCGTTGGTCGAGGCATGAGTATTTTCCTTCTGGCGGAAAAAGATGAGAGAATCTCATTGCAACTAATGGTAATGAACATTCGCGAGCTATGAATAGATGTATAAGAAAGGAACGTCGAAGGTGGATAAGTTGAGACCAATATTGGACGAGTTGACACCTATTGATTTCATATGAGACCCATTTGATAATCATATAATGAAGCATTCATTTGATGATATATGTCTATACAAGGGATGTCTGAAGTGGTGTGACACATTTGTTATATACTTGTCTGGAAGATGTATATGCTTGTTTGGATTCAGGAAGTATGTTTTACCCCTATCTTTTGATTATATGATGCATGATGTTAACATTGAGTGGATTTGTTATGATTCCAGCTTCCTTGATGCGATCAGTCTGATAGAAGTGGTTACCACTCCACATGATATAGATGTTGGATAATTGGAGTGGTACTAACATGTTTCACATCCTTGGTTGGTACCTCTCCCAGGGATGAGCAGAGAGAGGTGACAATTCCCGTTTATGACGCAGGACATTCTGATAAGAAGTTATCACTAATTTCTAGCTTACTTTATTGTTATCTCTAACAAGTTGGTGTTGAGGAGGAAAACCCACAATTTGTTGATTTATTTAAAGCATTGCACATTTGGCGTATTTGACTTATATTTTTACCTTGCATATGTATTAATTTGAGACTTATGTTTTAATTTAAGATGATTGTATTAATTCAATAACATACAAAATACTATCATTAAAATCCAACAACATATTACATAGAACTATGTTAAACTAGCACTATTTGGTATAAATGTTCTAAGAGTACACCAACATATTTTCCTTGTGGTCCCCACATAAACTGATCTACACATATTACTATAAAATAGACTAGCGTGCGCTTGCTCAACCTTATAAAAAACGTTTCTGAAAAAACCTTTAATGTTTCCCAATTGTAACTTTAGGTTTTTGTTCATAGCGTCCCAACATTTGCACATGTCACCTATATTGTTCAAACAAAGGTTGTTTATATTTATTTGTATTGTAAGTGTTATCCATAACTAACACAATAGAAAAAATATTCAACAGCTTAACTGAATCAGAGTGGACCCAAAAAATATCTCTCATAACTTCTGAGTCATCTCTTCTTTTACTATAGTAAACATAGTATGCATCCTCTATCGGGTTAAACAAATGTTGTATTTCACTTCTAGGACCTCTTATATCTCTTTTTAACTTACTATTATGCTTATTTATTTGTGTGATCCAAGTGACATTCTATGGATCTCGCTCTTGCAAAGAAAGTAATATGTGTCTAGATGGAACTTGTCACTTTGTCAAATCAACAACATGTTGTTTCTCATTTGTGCTCAGCCTACAACAAAGGAATGACCTTCTAATTTATCAGGTGAACCATGGTTATGAAGTACACATTTTACATCAATCTTCCATCTAGCCCCATCTTTCGATGGTGTCAATCTCATTTTGAATGGACATCCACATTTCTTAGTGGCACTTTGTGTTCTACTATCTGTATCCTTATATTACCACCTTTATCATAGCCAAATATTACTTTGTTATTTATATGGATTATGACAATTACTTTTATTTCTAATTCCAACCTTTTTAATCCACTTTTATCATCTCTTTTTATATATCAAATCTTTGTGTAGTTGAGAATGCATTAGAGGTATATGTACATATTTGATTTTTATCCCTTATTTGTAAAGGAATCTTCTTAGTTGCAACATAAAAAAAAGGTTATTTTTTAAAAAAAGTGACTATCGAATAACTTACCTTTAAGTTTTTCGATTACCAAAACATAGATCATCAAATAACTTAACAACAAATTTTCCATTACACAAATTCATCTACACCGAATAATATTGTACAAAGTTATCCGATATAGTTTTAAAATTTTAATATTGAATAACTTTCCAATTAGTTCTTCGGTAAAAATAAAATACAAACTGGATAACATAACTTCAATTTATTCTATAAACAAAAAACGTATTAAATGACATTTCTGACCATTATTCGATACACATTGGGGGTGTAAACTCCTTAAAATTTTCAAAAATCTTGAAAGAATAGTAAAAAATAAAATAGTAAACTTATTACAATCATACAATGACAAAATTAAAATATTTTATAAATAGTATGAATACGAGAATAACTATAAGAATATCAAATAAAACTTTCCTCTTTTCATAATACAATTTTGGTCTCACCTTTTCATAATACAACTTTGGTTTCACCTGTCACCATACATTTAAGTTTAAGTTTGATTTCATTGATTCACTTAAATTTAAATTATCAATGTTGTACACGCTAACATGCCAATTAAATATAATAAACTACTTTCTTCATTCTCATAAAAATAATACTTTTCTTTATCAAATAACTTAGTGATTGAAATTCACCCTTTAAAAATTAAAAAATAATACTTGATCAACCATAATTGACATTTTTGTCTAAATTTTAAATCAAATATATCAATTTTTTCTACACACATTTGAAATAAGTGGTATAATCTAATTGAATACAATGAATCAAAGACAAGTCAAATAAGAAAATAAAAAGATGGTCAAACTATTAAAACATAAATTGATTATAATAATGCAAAATATTTAAATATAGGATTCTTTTATTATAAAAAGGTAATATAAAACAAAAACATAAATATAACAAATATTATCACTAGAATCTAACATTTTTGTATCACTCTCTTCTATGAGAGAAGATGACGAAAAACGAGAAGGTAGCAAAACGACAGATAAGTAGGAAGGGAAGTAAGGCAAGAACATGGTTGATGATGGACAGTGAAGGGCAAAGACAGACGGTAGAGGCCGGGAAGCCGACGATAATGCAGCGGACCGGGCTAACGGCAAGGGACCTTAGGATTCTTGATCCTATGTTGTCATACCCTTCAACAATTATGGGTCGTGACAAAGCAATGGTGTTAAACTTGGAACAAATAAAGGCTATTGTTAGTGCACATGAGGTTCTCTTGCTCAATTCTAGAGATCCATCTGTTGTTCCTTTTGTGGAAGAACTTCATGCAAGGATTCTTCATCACCACAGCATTGTTATTGATCATTCTCAGGTAAACTTTTCTTAACATTCAGTATAAGCATAGATTATTATAATTGTAAAATTAGTGACATTGTCAATCTTGTTGACTAGAAATGTTTTATTTTTAAGTGTTTGCTTTTAAAGGGTAAAAAATATTTAAGTATGGCTTAAAAATGAGTTAATAACATTTTTCAAAGTACAACTAAAAAATTGAAAGTAAAATTTAAGTTTATATATAAAATATTTAAATTTACATTTTCATCTAATGAACTGCGTCTAAAATATTATATAATAATTTAAAATAATTTGAATAATTTAATAGATTAATAACTTTTTTATTGGATGATCGTGTAAATTTTTTTTTTACAAACAGTGTATATTAATTGAACTCTTAAACAATTATTTTAATATTATAATTTATTTTAGAGAATTTTCTTTTGTTCTAATTTTATTGCGAGAATTTAAATTCTGATTTTAAATTAAGGGTTTGTTTGAATAAATAGTTTATTTAAAACTTATAGCATAAATATTTATCAAAATAAGTATTTATAAAAAAATTTGTGTAAATTATTTTTAATAAAAGATAAAATAAATTTAAATTATTTTTATGTGTGTTAAACATTGTTTTTATGAGTTATTTTTTAGAGCTTATAAAAATAAATTCAAAAAATTTATGGATAATACTATAAACTGTTTTTTTTAGACAGTATCACAAAATTTATCGCATAAGATAAATTTAAATAAGCTAATCCAAAAAGACATTTTAAATCATCAGATTTTTGCAAATGTTTCTTTGAGAATCTATTGGCTACCAAGTTAAAAACAAACAAAAAATATTATTCAAATTACTTTAACTTTTCTTTTAAATTATTTTTTATAGTAAAATATTTTGTTTAATCTTCTTTATAAAAAATTACTTTAAATAATAATATATCTGAATAATATATAGACTAAATCCATTACACTTAAAAAAGCAGAATTTTCTTATAAACAAAACCAGGAAAAAATAAAAATAAAAATAAAAATAAAAAAAGTGAATTGTATTTGATCTAAATTTTAAGTCAAATGCATTTGTCTGTTTGAATTATTTTACTTATATTTTGTACAAGGTATGGATTATACTGATTTGTTGATAATGTAAATACTTTCCACTTTATTGTATAAAAATTAAACATAAAAATAGTTAAATGTATTTTTTTTTTTTCACTTTACTTTTACCAAAATTAATTTTTAGTCACTCTAATTCTAAAATTGGGTCCTTTACCTTCTTTTTAACGATCTTTGAGATTCACTTTTTTTTTTTTTTTTTTATGGTGTGACACAAATTTCAAACAATCAATGTTCCCTTAAACTCATCCAAGACTATTTTAAAATTTTCATTTTTTTAAAAAATTATAATTCTGTGATCTTTGAACCTTAAAAACGATTTCGTAAAGACTACATAATAAAACTAAATTTAACTTAATGGTGTCACATCATTACATAACTAATAATATATATGTATGTCATAAATAATCGTCAAGAAAAAAAAAAGTATTTTTGTTAATCAATAGGAAAATACTTATATAAAAACGTGCATATATTCATATTTTTATAAACAACTAATAAAAGAGAAAATTTTAACTTTCTTTAAAATCTAAATTTTTTAAAATTAAAATCATGAGGTAATTGTGATAATGAAAGAGAAAGAATTTTTTTTAATTAATAAAAAAATTGTGATTGATTTTTTTTTTTAAATTACATTTTGTAAGAATAAGGATTTCCCAAATGAATATCAATTTTATGTGTTAATCTAGAAACACCCTTACTATCTCACAAAAAACATTCCAAACATTCACTTAATTTTTGAGAAAATACATACATGCAATTTTCTTTAAAGTGATTTAAAATGAAAGTTGAAAATTTAAATTTTCAAATGCAATTTCGTCATTATATTTTTCCTCTCATCTTTTACTTGAATAAATATTTAACATAAATACACATAAATTATTATTATTTTGTACGATTAATTTTTTTACATATTAAAATATGTTAAAATAAATATATGATATATTTGAATTGACTTATTTAAATTTATCTTCCGATATAAATTTTATAATACAGTTTGAAAAACCTTATCAAAATAAATTATAATATTTCTTTAATCTTATCTTTAAAAAATTTTAAAAATAATTTATAGAAACAACTTATATTATATATTAACAAAATTGAAATTTATCTTGTCTTTTGTGCAGGGTGATCAAGATAAGAAGGATGAAGATGAAATAAAGCAAGTTAACGACAATAAGAAGATTATTCCATTTGAGTTTGTGGTGTTGGAGGCATGTCTTGAAGAAGTTATAAGTTCCTTAGAAAACGAGGTGTGTTTATGTAGCATGTTTGTTGAGCTGTTGATTTTCAACAATTTATTTGCTTTTGTTGATTATTTTGTAGGCAAATATATTGGAACTTGAGGCTTATCCTGCCCTAGATAAGCTATCCTCAAAGATTAGTACTCTTAATTTGGAACGTGTTCGTCATGTTAAGAGTCGATTAGTTGCCTTAACTGCTCGTGTTCAAAGGGTTAGAACTTTTTTTCTCCTATCACTCTGAAACACAGACACCTTTAGACTCAGATATCACGTAGTGTCTAACACTTGTATGACATCTGTACGACAATATGTAGAGTGTAAACCTATGCTCGTTTTCAGGTAAGGGACGAGTTAGAAAACTTGTTGGATGATGACGGAGATATGGCTGAACTATATCTTACAAATAAATTGTCTCAACAGAAGTTTGAAAATTCTTCTACAGCCTCATCCATGAAACAAGGTGGAGATTTAATCGAACGCGATGATTCTAAAAGTGTCGTCAATGGTGATATACCTAAAACGCAGGCTGGTACTGTCAACAGCGGTGTTGGCAGTGTTGAGGAGCTTGAGAAGCTCTTAGGAGCATACTTTGTGCAAATTGGTAGCACGCTGAACAAACTATCCATGGTACGAATCTTATATATATAAACCAGATACATCAGTTATTCAATGAATCTAAAAAAATGAAACTTCACTTATAATAACATTTCTTTGGATTGTGTTATTGAAGTTGAATGAGTACGTCGAGGACACAGAGGACTACATAAACATTACCTTAGATGACAAACAAAACCGCATTCTGCAAACTGGAGTTCACATAGGCACAATAAGTGTGATTGTGAATAGCTTTATTACGGTGACAGGTATTTTTGGCATGAATATTGAAATTGAGGTTTTTCATGCTGAAAAGGATAAGCTGTTCCTTGTGACAGTTATCCTATGCACTGCTGCTTGTTTGATCTTATATTTTCTTGCCATGCTTTGGTACAAGAAAAAACACATGCTGTAAAAAGTTGTCACTGTTTGTATAAATTTTATATGATTATGCAGACAATTTTAGTTATGTTGGATGTTTATTTTACAATAATAAGTTGATATACTTAGATATATATGCAATCTTGTGCTAGTGTTTTGTAATTAAGTATGTTGTATTTTGAAATTAATGGATGTAATTTTAAATATTGTTGAAATTTTATTGACTTGGATTGTGTTTAGTTAAATAGTTCTATAAAATATTTATTCAGTTAGTTCTTAATGCATAAGTGCTTAGATGTAGTTTTGGCATGAATATTCCCATTGAACTATATATAATTATGGTGGGATGCCAGAGTTTCTTTGGTTATTTTAGGATGCACAGGGGCTTCAGAATCTTATATGTGAGACAAAAAATAATGGCAATTACACTTAATAATCTCAAGTAAAATTTATCTATCATTTAGTGTGAGCAAATCTTAGTAGCTAGGAAAATAAAGAATAAGAATACACTAAATTTATTTACTTAGTTTAATGTGAAATTGACGCCTGAATAATAGAGTATAATCGGATTATTAGTAAAAAAAATTACGAAGTAAAAGAAAAGAGAGAAGAAAGAGAAAGACAATTTAAAGTGGTTTAAAATTTTGTATTTTTTATTCAGTTACAAGTTAAGGAATAATGTTTACAATTGAATTTCATTCACACCACTTTTTTTCCGCTGATATGATTTTCAGAGATTCCTCGAGAAGTGATTACTAATATGCTATTTATAAGAAAATTAAGTCATACATTTCAACTAACATACTAAATAATTGGTCCAATAGACTTGATCAATTCAACATGCTAACTAAGACATTTGCATGCTAGAATAGATTTCGACTACAACATGCACATTTTCGACTATTGTCGAACCATGAAGTTATCACTGTCGAGACTAGAGTTCGATCTAAATACCACAAATCTCTTCTTTAGAGCAAACTCTACAACAACAAGGGAACAGACTAGCTTTCATCATGCAGCTTTATCAATTGCATATAGTGGATGAACTTGCTACTTGACAATGTCTTGGTGATCATATCAGCAATATTTTGATCAATCAAAACCTTCAGCATTTGAACTTCTCCACCCTCGATTATCTCTATGATGAAATGCAGCCTCACATCAATGTGCTTGGTTTATTCATGATAGGCTGAATTCTTTGACAGGTGTATTGCACTTTGATTATCACATTTAACTATGATTGCTTGATCTTGAAGTTTCAAATACTTAGCAAAATCTTCAAGCTACAATGTTTCTTTCACAGCCTCAGTGAGAGAAATATATTTCGCTTCTGTGGTTGATAAGGCAACAACCTTCTGAAATATTACTTTTCAACTGATTGTTGTGCCAAACATAGTGAACACATATCCAGAAATAGGTTTTCTGGAATCTATAAACCTACATAATCAGAGTCGACAAATCATTCAATTTCTACTTTGCTATCATCACCACAATGCTCCACCATAAATCAGGATTATGCTCAAAGATCCATTTATGTACCTTAGAATCCACTTCAATGATTTCTAGAGTTCCTTTCTAGGATTGGCCATATATCTGCTTACAAGGTTAACTGCATATGTTATGTCTTGCCTAGTACAAACCATAACATGCGTAAAAGAGTCTACTATGTTAGCATAAGATATTCTTTTCATATAGGCTCTTTTGACCTCAGTACTATGACTCCAATTTACACTCAGCTTGAATTGAGGATTTATCTGAGTCACAAGAGGCTTTGAGTTCGACATACCAAATTTGTCGAGAATCGTCTTAAGGTATTTCTCTTGAGATAAGTATAATCTTGACTGCTTTCTATCTCTCGGGCTGTCAATCCCAGTAATTCTAGAGGTATCTCCCAATTCCTTGATGTCGAACTACTTATCGAGTTTAACCTTCACCTTCATATATAACATCCTCAACATTGTTTCTTTCTATGAGGATGCATCCATATAAATAATCAAAATAACAAGTGAACTTCTAGGTCAAAATCTGAGGTAAACACAATAGTCGAACTGGCTCTTAGTGAAACCTAAGTGTGTCATAAACTTATCGAATCTCATATTCCATTGTCAAGGAGAATGTTTCAGGCCATATAACGACCTATTTAACTTGTACACATAATCTCCCTTTCCTCTTTCTGCATACCCTTCAGGTTTCCTCATCATGATTATTTCATCTAGATCACCATAAAGGAAGACGTTCTTCACATCCATCTGTTCAAGTTCTAGGTTGAACTTTGCCACCATGGCTAACAATATTCTAATGGATCTATACTTTACAACGGGTGAGAACATATTATTGAATTTAACTCCTTCTTTCTGAGTGAAACCCCTAGCAACCACCCTTGCATTAAATCACTTTGAGATCACTCCTTCGATTCCTTCCTTGACCTTGAAAATTCACTTATAGCTGACTAATTTGTCCGCTGCATGTTTCTCAATCAGCTCTCAAGTGCTATTATCATGAAGAGATTCCATCTCATCATCCATGGCTTTAGGCTATTCAGTCTTGTCTCGACTCCTCATAACTTCCTTATAGTTTCTAAGTTCTTCATCCAAAACCTCACTTACAGAGATTAAGTCATAAATTATGAGATTTGCATTACCAAGTCTCTAAGGTGGCTTGATGACTCCTCTTGGCCTGTCTCTTGCCAACAGGTAGTCATTATCAGTATCCTCATCTTCATCAGTAACTTGTGCTTGTTCTTCGACTTCATATGGGTTATGCGATTCAGCATCACTATGCTTCACCTCAATAGGAAACTCTTCTTGTTCCATCCTCTATAGAGATCTTTGTACTTTGACCAATGTCATCATTTTTTTTAAAGCCATATCAGTTTCATTGAAAACTACATCTCGACTTGTGATACACATCCTGTGACTTGGTTCTAGGCACCACAACCTCAACTTTCGTGACTAATCATCAACTATGGATAGAAAATACATTGCTCCTAAGTGTGAATAATTTCTTGTAGGCCCCCAAAGATCAGCATGTATATAATCAAGAGATCTATGTATTCTTTGTTTACCTTTGTTAAACTTCACCCCTAAAGGATTTACCAAATACACAAGGTTCACAAAACTCCAATTTTTCGACCTTGTCACCACATAGAAGATTTTGTTTCGACAATTCGATCATGCCTCTTTCACTGACATGGCTAAGTCTCTTGTGCCATAGTTCAATCTTCAACACAGGTTTTGTGGATACTACATCTGCTGAACCACTTACAAGCTCATCCTCAAGGGTATTCAGGCCTTGCCTAATAATGCCTCTCAAGACTTTCTTCAACCCCTTCATTACCCTTAGGATACATTGCTCTCCTTTGAAAACATATCCTTTCTTGTCAAATTCACTAAGAGAAATCAAATTCCTCTTAACTTCAGGTACAAACCTAACATCAATCAAAAGTCTTATTGACTCATCATGGAGCTTGAATCTGACAGATCCAATTCTTGCAATCTTGCATGCTCTATTGTTTCCCAGCAGCACGAATCCACCATCTTGGTCACATAATTCCTCAAATACATTTTTGTTTAGAGTCATGTGTCAAGTACAACCTGAATCTATAATCCACTCCTTTCTAGAGTTGCTACTTGAAACTACCAGGACATCAAGTGATTCATAATCATCTTATACAGTGGTTGCATTACTATTATCCTTACATCCACGGTTATTTAAACTTTCAGGGCACACCTTTCTTGTGTAACCAGATCCTATGTCGCACGCGGGTTAAAAACGAGTTTAAGACAAAACGCAGTAAAAGGGAAGTGACACTAGCATATCGTATCTCAAGGAATATTAGATTATGATTAACCTACTTAAATTGATTAGGGGGTGTTTAGCTTTAAGTTTCGATCAATAAAACACTGAAAATAAGTGATTACAATTACGATTAAAAAGCTAATTTTCCTATTTGATTCCTACCTATCATCGATTATTATAACTTAAATGCCCTAAGCGGATTCGAATTCTATCCTTGTTTGATCACAATATTAATCAACAAGCGTGAATGAAATTATAAGAATTATGTTTCCTGTTTGCCGAATTAAGCACTCAGTTAAGAATAAAGCGAATTAACGGATTAAGCAAACAGTAACACGCAATCAAAATTAGGGAAACATAAATTAATCGAACCAAACAAACTACTTTGTGATAATCAAATTAAGCAAATGATAAAAACATAGAAGAATTGAAAGGAATATAATTTAAATTGCAAAGATATATTAATCTCAAGTATCAGAACATGAATACAGCAGATCAACAAACAGGATCAGTTCTCCATAAGTTTTCGTACAAAAATTTAGAAATATTTTGTGAATAGTGAAAAAAAGAGATAACGTGAACAGTAGCAGCAACTACTAGGCATAGGAAAACATTCCATTCGGGTTCTAACCCAACCGGGTCGAAAAATATAAAAAAACCTGGCCCAAAACTAGTTATTCTCTAATGTCTGAAACTTCAACAAATTATTTGACCATCTTTCACTACGAATCAGATCTTGGCTTCAGCACACAACTTATAGCTCCTTCTCTTAGATTTCCAATTCATGTCAGAACGCGCAAAACGGTATCTTATAGCTCAAGTTATATTTTGCACAGTGAACATGTATCAAATAACTATTAATGCTAAAAATAAAATACAAATTTAAGCATCTTGGATAAAGACTTGTTGCTTGAATCCCAATGAAACAAGACTTATGCTCAAACACATAGCAAGAGACTTGATCTAAACTACTGAAGGCTCAATATAATTAAGAACAAGGTGTACATTATACAAGCATCAGAAACTTGATCTTGCTACTCCTTCATCTGAAGAATCCTTGTTAAGATTCAAACTTGAATCTTCAACCATATTTATAGCCTTGAACAGGTAACTTGATCAAGTGTCTTTGCCTTTTCCCCATAGTACAAGAGACGTTGAAGATGGATGCACAACAAATTATGAATTAATTATGTAACATATTTAAACTTTGAGTCTTCAAGAGGTTCTGTATTGATA